ATATATATATAATTGTCACCTTGTTGGAGGCAATTACGCTCGGAGAATATATAGCGGAATAGTAAAGTAACCAATTCTTTGAACAAATTTAATTATTAAAATGCATTGTTGCTTAGTAACGTTACAATTTGGATTCTTTACAACCGCGGAATATATTATCTGAGTGTAATTGCGTCCAACAAGTTGACGGGAATGGTGACAATTATATTTCTAATTTTTCTAAATTTGAAAAATCACACTTTTTGTATTTCTACAAAAAATATTAGAATTTTATGTTGTAATAAAATATATTCAAAAACAGATCTTTAAATCACGTCACTTTTTATTTCTCCGAAATTATAGTAGTTTTCACTGTTTTTCACGGTTTTGCTGTATTTTTATTCAATTGAATAAGTGAATTGTGAGTGAAAATTTCATTTTGATAATTTTGTAGGTAGTTTTATTAGCTATTCTGAAATTGTTGTAATGTTCTTTTCTAACGAAGTATTTTGATAAATTGCCAAAATAAAATTGTTTAAACAGAAACAAAATATAACATTCGTTTTAATGGTGCATTTTCTTTATTTTTTTCTGTGAAGTTTCAATCGAGCATTTACGTTGCCGAGATTTTTCCTAACACCCTGTGCCAATTGAAAGCAACACAAGTTGGTGATGACGGAAATGTGATCAGATTTTTAATGTGTGTGTGTTGTAGTAATCGTTTCGATTATAAATTTTTTTGCTGTAAAACTTTTTTCTGGTCTGCAATCTTTGCTAGTCGACTGAGGTCTTTTTGAAGAGAATTAATTACGATCTCAGAATAAGCGACCGCCTTTCATTACAAGAAAAAAATTAAATAAGAGTCTGACGGCCGAAAATTAAATGTGTCGCCCGGACTGACAGGTTTGCACGGAAGGCGTGGTCCTGTTGATGGCACCATGCAATTTGCGATCGTATATTGGGGGAACTAATTCACTCCGTAATAAATACACATATCAGAAGCAATATGTGTGGGTAAAATAGGTCTAAAATAGTTTGTTTATTCGGAATACTCATAAAAATGTTCACCTAGACTACACGAAATGTTTCCATTCTCTTTGAGTGCATTCGTTGATTAATGTTAAGGAGAAGAGGCGGGTTGGGCGTTGGGCGTTGGGCGCGCACTCACGTAGTAGTCGACAGCGACGGGCGCCGCCTTGACGGCGACGGCGGGCGCGGCGTGCACGGCGACGGGGGCGGCGTGGAGGGCGGGGGCGCTGTAGCCCCCGTAGCCGCCGTAGCCACCGTAGCCGCCGATGACTCCGGCCTGAGCGACGGCCACCAGGGCGGCGGCGCACAGCAGCTGCAACACGGGTCCCCGTCAGCAACAAGGCCCCACCCTGCTCCCTCCGCTGGCCTTTCGAGCCCCCCGGACATCCGAGACATGCCTTCTCTGCATTTGGCGATCCTGGCGCTGGTAATGTTTTCGTTAAAATGCACAAAAGGACATAAAAAGTTAGGTCTCAATATTTTAAATTTTAAATATGTATGATATAAATTGTGGAGTCCGTTAACTTTTGAAGATACGTTTTGGATTTACTCATGAACCCTCATCGGTGGTTTAAGACTCAACTGGAGTATAGGAGTACAGAACGAACTCCATAAGTATATGTGCTGGAAATCAGTTTAAAAAATTCAAAATATTGGTTCTTAACTACAAAATAATATACAAAATTATTTGCTCAATATGCAGTCTAGCATCTCAATACATAAGATTTTAATGAGCGCACATAACAAATTTGGAGGATACTAGTGTTCATTAGTAGACCGTGAATGGACAATGCATCAACTGAATTACTTAACCACTCTCTTCCAGAATAACTCTCAAACTTCAGAACACATAAAACCAGGGTGTCTAAACGTGCCCCGTGATCAAGGCACGTGAAGGGACAAAAATGAACTACAGGCATGAGAAGCAGCGTGTGCTAAATGGGCCTGAAAGCGAATGTTCGTGCTACAACACACCACGCGTACCCTTGTTTCCTCGTTTGTCCGACTGCTCCATATGCTTCACGTGTTCCGCGTTGCGTCCAGTTTCCTTTTTTTCCAACGTCTACTCTTGTTCACTTCTCGGAAAAGCCGTGTGCTTGGCATGTCGCATATGTGTCTCAGGCGGAACCGCGGGGGGGGGGGCACTACTGTTCGCCTGCTTCAGGACGTCGTGGAGCGCCGCGTTCCACGGCGCGCGCGCTTCCGGCTCTTTTCTCAACAGGGCTGCGCCCCCCCCCCCCCAGCACCGGCCACGCCCCCCGGCGAGCGGGCGGTAGGCAGCCCGCAGAGCATGCGACGCTCTCCTTGCCGTAGAGGGCGGCGACATCCACCGACTTCCGTGCTACGCGCGACTTTGGTAGATGCAGACTCGATCTCTGTTCCGATTGACTCACGAATTGACTGATTTGCGGATTAACGTGTTCCCCGTGACAGAAAATGAATGTTCCTGTGCGGCTTTATAAGAATTCATAGTAAACTACGTAATATGAACTGGCTGGATTTACTATCGGTCACCGTACGGTATACGTTGTTTTGTTACAGCAGCTAACATTTGTACAAACGTTGTTTGAACGCGATGTAAGTTGACAATCAATAGCTAAGACCATAATGAGACAACGTCTGTTTTGCCATGAAAAGTTTCTGAAACAGTAAGTTGATGATAATATTTAACATTCAATTATGAGTGGCTGTCTATGAATGATTCGAGCAATAGTAAAAAAAACTAAAATACAACTTTAAAACATTAATTATTATTATTATTATTATTATTATTATTATTATTATTATTATTATTATTATTATTATTATATTATTGCTTTTATTATTGTAAATTAATTCTAAGAGCGGTTAACGTCCAGTACGGCTGAGTGCGCGAATGACGGAATGTGCCCTCGGACTCGGGTTAAATAATGATAGTGTTCATGTAGTTGTTTATTGCATGAGCACGTGGCACGTAGCTTCGCCGGGCATTCTCCGGGTGGCCTTTGCGAGGCGGATTTCCTTCGGCCCCGTTTGTATGTCGGGTGTTTCTCAATTTCCGCCACCTGCTTAAAATTGGGACACTTTTCTTTTCAACTGACCACTACAATACACGATGACGCTAGTGGGAGGAAGTCGGAGAAAATTGCCGCTGTTTCCCGCTTGGATATACATTACATGTTGAAAATCGTCTCTTTTTGTCGGAGGAAACTCTTCGTATAATCGTTTCTCAAATACTTCGTAAAGAGGAAATTTTATTCCATTGTTCGAGAAATATGGACGTTACAAAATAAAATGAAATATAATACAGAAACAAATATTGAATACAATTTTGAAAACATTTGAAATTTGAAAGTGATTAGTTTTTAACAGAATTTACAGTTTATCTTTGACCGTCTAAATTATCAATTTTTGTTAGTATTTATTACATTATTTTAGTAAAGTACGTGAGAAGAGGACATGTCCTTTCAAATGCCCAAAAAGTATGGACAATTCTGTAATATATACAAAATATAATATATCAGTTTATATCTTATGAAATATATACCAATAATATTTTTTATGTTAGTATTTTCCAACATTTTGTATTGTTGCGAACAAATATTGCACTGCAAGTTAACGACGCATCTGGCATGATGTAGGCGGCGCATATTCACCTGTGTGAGTCCAATCATGTCTGGTGCTAAGGTTGCGGCTGCCGTTCCAGGAGAACCTAACTCACCAGGGCACTGGGACTGAGTGATGCTGAGCACACCGCAGGTCACCCTTTTATACGGCCTGTCTGCGATGGTCGGCGGCGCCGGCGGCAGCGGCCGGCGGGGGAGGGGTACGTGCGTTACGTCGCCGCTCCCGCTCCCCGGCCCCGCCCCGGCCCCGCCCCGTCC